AAAAAAAAAAAAAAAAATATCAAGGACTTGTGTTCTCTGCTTTGTCATCAAGAGTGTCACCTTTGTCCTTGGTCCTGTTTTCTCAGAGATGCTAGACAGCTGTGGGGACTCCAAGCATCAAGTCTTCACAGTATGAAGGCCAGGAAAGGAGAGCATAGGGCCGGGGTTGCAGCTCAGCCAGCACAGCACTTGTCTAGCACATGTGAGGCCCTGGGTGTGATCCACAGTATGGCAAAACAAAACAACAAACTTCATCTTATGCATCATTGTCTTGAAGAGCCAGGAAGATCTTGCAGAAGCATCCTGATAAGCAAGGCACCGTCACATCTCATTGGCCATGGCTGTCATCTGTCCACTATGAAGCCATTGCCTGGCAACTGACAAATCACTGGCATGGTGTCACCTAAAGCACACGGCCACCTAGTACCAAATGAGGGTTCTTGGCACAAGTACAAAGTAACAAAAGATTGCCAGGCATCTGCAGTAATGCTTTTTATTTGAAGCTATTGGTCTTGGTCACTTTCCTGTCAGTGTAACAAAATACCGACACGTACAACTTAAATTTTGGTCCACAATTTTAGTCCACGGGTGGCTGGCTTTAAGGTAGGAACAGGATAGCAGAAGGAGGAAAAGATGCTCAGACTCTGGCAGCCAGGAAGCAGAGAAGGGAGAAGCTGGGTCCCACCTTCACTGACCAGACCACACCTCCTAGCAGACATGAGTTCCCCATGGGCCAGTCACCCTCCACACAGGAGATATGTGGGAGACCTAGATCCAAACCATAACTCTTGCATCTAGATTCTATGGGGGCTGCCACTGCCTATAAATGAACTGAATGTCTATTAATGTTGGACAGTCACAGCAGTAGGATTGTGTTTGTGGACCTCATGAAACGATCTTTAATGACCAAGGCTTGATCATTTTAGTACTTTTTATTGGCTTATGTTTGTGACACATAATTACAGTGAACTTGGGGAATTGATATATACTGGCTCACTGTCCCTTTTTACTTTGGCCATCTCTCCCAGCTCCTGCTCATCAGAGCAGATGATACAGACTCCCGTCAATTTAATTTCCCCCAGACTCATCCAGGGTACACTGGTTTAATGATTGGCTCAATTGCTTTGTGTAAATAGGAAGATTAGTTTTGACTACACTTTTTACTAAAGCATTAACAATCCAAACCAATAAACAGAATGACTTTTAACAAGTTCACAAATTTGGTTGTTTTGCTGCCAGGCAGCTTGAACCACCCAGTGATACATGCATGACTGTCCCATTGGGAAACTTTTGGTTAATTTTATTAGTAAATTAGATTCTTTTGTATCACAAATGGTACAGTCATGCATGTACCAACCGTGGTTCAAGCCAACAGGAATGTATTAAGTCTTCCAAGGCAGAAAATGCCAGGAAAGGGAAATTATCTGTAGTGGGCCTCATGTCTTTATTTGTCCTTATCCTAGTGGGTAAAATAATCTTGATCAGAATTTGAATCCTGTACAATCCACCACAAGAAGATTCAAGAGGACCCATACCTTCTATAAGTGTCCCAAGTGTCCAAAAGCAGGAAAGTGGGTTTAGATACAATGCACAGAAAACAGCCCTAAAGGAAAAACAAGCAGTAACCCATATGTAGAGAGATTTTTTTTCCATACAGGGATCAAAGCCAGGGGTGCTCTATCACTGTGCTATTATCCCAGCCCTTTTCACTTTTTGAGACAGGGTCTGGTTAAGTTCCACAGCCTGGCAACAAACTTGCTTGCCTCCTACCTCAGTTTCCCAAGTCAGTAGGTTACATGTGCACTCCCACACCCTACTCCCTCATTCTTGTCCATTGCTTGGGTATTGTGTTGTCCTTTCCTTGGATATTGCCCTACTGCACACAGAACAACCTAGGCTTAAGACCATTTTTAACAAGTTGAGGTAATATTTCCTAAGGTAGATGTCTCAGAGCTCAGAGTGGTTTCAAAATCCACCAGGGTGCACATCTGAAATAAAGATTCAGTGTCTTACATGTCCGTTCCTGGTGGCAACCACCACTACTTCCTTTGCCTTCCCACCCCTCCCTTTCTCTGAGTACACTCTTCTCTCCATATATTCTGTGCTTCACCTCCCCGTTTTAGGCCAAAATGAAGCTGCTCTTTCCCATACCAGAAGTCCTCTAAGGCTACTGTAGACCTGTTTGTCCTGAACACGCAGGATCGGGAGTTCCCTGTTTCTCCAAACTGTAACGCAGCAAATGCAAGCCCCTTCCCCAGTGTCCACTCTGTGTAGACGGTGGAGAAAGGGTCATCTAACTAGTATTGAGTCATCTCACCCAGTCATGTGGGAGCTCAGAATGGGTAATGGCTATTTTTGTGCATCATTTGGAAGACTATCTCCAATTTAACTGCACTCTGAAGCAAGTTTTTGTGTTGTGGACCTAGTATAATATCTAGGTGGCCCTAAGGGAACCCCCAAAGCACATTACATTTTTATAACCTGATCAGGAGAATGACCGGGTACGCATTACTGCTTCTGAAAGGTTAGGGTCAGGGGTCAAGTGTCAAGGGTCAAGGGTCAGGGTGAGGGTTCCACAGGGTCAGGGTGAGGGTTAGTGAGGGTTCAGGTTCGGGTTCGGGTTAGAGGGTTAGGGTTAGACGGTTCGGGTTCGGGGTTCAGGTTAGGGTTAGGGTTAGACAAGGGTTAGGGTCAGGGTCAGGGTTCGGGAGCCGAGGGTTCAGAAAGCGAGGGTTCACTGTTAGGCTCTGAACCAAGCAACACAGACAGACAGACAGAGAGACAGACAGACAGAGAGCCAGCACAGGCCAAACACACACACAGCTGACCGACCCCTAATTCATTCATTCGAACACCAGGCACACACACTGCTTCTTTGAGGAAGTGGGCAGGCACACTGGAGGACGAACGACATTGGAGAAGGGGGTGCACTGTCTGTTGGGGAGCATGGAAACTCGAGGAAGTGGGCAGTGTGGATGACCAAGGAAACTCGAGAAAGGGGGCTCTGTCGGGGACCAAGGAAACTCAGAGAAGGGGGGTCCCTTTCGGAACCAAGGAAACTCAGGGAGGGGGGCACTTTCGGAACCAAGGAAACTCGGAAAGGGGGGCGTTTGCCACTGGTTGGTTAATTAGGCTGCTGGACACAGGCACGCACACGCA